AAAAACGAGCATGGAAAATTAGGTGTGATTTTAATGGTTGCCGCAGTTGTCGTTTAGTTTCATTTTGCTTTGCTATTTTTTACTGAACTGGCTAGGTTCTGATTACAACACATTTCGGAGGGGTGTTTATTTTTTGTCGGCTTTTTACGGCTTAACATTGCTACTACTAACTGGGATTTTTATAGCGTGTTTCATGGTCAAATGCTTTAATTGATTTTGCTTTCGTTTTTCTTTTTTCATTTTTGCAATAGTCTTAATACTACATTAAAGTAAATTGAAATGCCCTAAATGGCTGGCATAAAAAACCTCATAATCCGTCAATGTATACGCCGAGGCAATTTAATTTGAATTTGATGAGTACATTTGGTAAACATTTTTTTTTTTTTGAGGGCGTAAAATAGGTTTTTATGAATAAAGGAGTGTTTCCAGCTCTCAAGAAAAACGAAAAATTCATATAAAACGCCCCACAAGAAATGGAAAAAAATTTCTTTCTATCAAAATTTCTTAAATTAGTTTGCAGCTCTCAAGAAAAAAATGCTCGGATATTTGTTTCTTCAAGAAAATTTACGGCAAAAGCAAAGTGCTTATCCAAGCAATAGAAATAATTAAAAATATTTCTTGTGACTTTTCTTGAGAGCTGAATTCTAAGCGGTATGCTGCGGTTGTATGGATAGACCGCCGAAAGTCGATGTGTGTGTGTGCGGGGTGGAAACGCGCACTGCTTACCACTACACCACAGCGGCCGCCAATACTACTTGTATGTGTAAATATCAGTAAATAGTTATTCATAACAAATCTAACGATTAAATGACTAATTTACTTGTTGAAATCGAGAAAATCAGGAAATTATAAAATCTACTTTTTATTTAAGGAGTAACTTCTTGAGCGACCAGACCTAAAGCTCAAGGTTTTCAGACGTTCATTTGTAGGTTCTGAGGAATAAAAACAGGTATTAAACAAATGTGCCAGTTACCAAATGGGATAAAAAAGGCTACTCACAACTGTAACTGAATTTCGCGTATTTTATGAAAATCATGAATTTTCTCGTGATAGTCGTTGAGCGGTACTTATACTACATTTGTGCGTATAAAATATACTTATTTATTTCTTCAGAAGCAGATTTCTAGGCTAAAGGACAACGTGCTTCCTAACATTTCAAAAAAATCTGCTCGAGAAAACGCGTAACCAGTGCGTAATTTTTTCATTAATAATACTGAATTTTTATACCAGCCCCCGTTAAAAATTTACTTCAATTCAAAGTATTTGATAAATTAAATTAATTATTACAATATGGATGTCGATCGAGTCATTGTATCCTAGAAAGGGTGACACTAGGGAACATAAGTGTCATAACGATTTTTAGAGCTAATTGCATGATCTACCCTTTTGTCTAACCTATTTTTATTATAAACCTCACCGTTCAGCTGAAAATGGTAAAAATCAATTTATGTTACCTTTGACCTTGAATAATATTTTTTATGGATCTGGGATCGATGAGGACTTTTCACACTTCATTTATAGTGGTGATCGTGATCAGCTTTATGTGAATTATTTCAACCTTGAAAATCTAACTTGACCCGGCTAATAAGAAACAGTTATATGGTTTAAATAGAGTAGCAATTAAAAAAATACTACTTACACGGGTTATAAAGTACTTCAATTAGGTTTACAAGTGATAAATTATGGAAAAAAAATTGTGCTACTATTTTGAAAAACAAATTTTTTTTTATTGAAAAGTCCCCATTTCAAAACATTTTCCCATATATATATGTACATACGCTGAATTTCGCATTCATTATTTAAAAAAGTTAATATGTATATATAAAAGAATATTCCATCGAACTTTAAAAATTTCGAAACTTTCATTAAACTTTCAAAATTTACTTTACAGATATCAACAAAGGTTTACCCATCGATTATAAAAGCGGCTCAGCCTGCTCAACACCCACAAAAGACACACTCAAAGGTTACGAGCGCAGCACGAACAATTGCATGGGACCCGTGCTTCCACCGCGCAGCGTCATGAGCGGCCTGCCCGCGCATCACTATTCGACACCGATGAACTTCCGCAAAGGTTTGGCGGCGCGCTGGCATCGTTGGCGATGTGCGCTCAACATTTGTTTGGCGGTATTTGCGTTACTTGGCCTGATTTCCATAGTTCTATATGGTAAGTACACTACACTTGTTATCATTTCACTCTGCCCGTGCTCTCTATCTCTCTCCTCTAGAGTTTATTAAGTTTTATTTCATGTATCAATTAAAATTATTTCAATTAATACTCAATTATTCACATAAATTTTCCATTTCTTCCACTTTTCCTCCTCCGTCTGCAACAACTCTGCACAGTTTCCGGTGTGCTACACTTATCCATCGACGAACCACGCACAATTCTAGTCGGCAATGAGGCATCCGAGGTGACGGCCGCCAAAAGCACTAATACGGATCTAACGAAATTCGGACAACCCACCACGGTCACTGCATCAACGGCAACCTCATCGCTCTCTTCGATATCGGCATCACAAGCGGCAGCGGCGCAGGCGGCAGCAGCGGCTTCAGCGGCAATTAACGGCAATGGTGGCTTGTTGGGTGGCAGTGGCATTAATGGTGGTAGTGGTATTGGTGGTGGCACCTCACCATCATCCACTGCCTACCAATCGCCAGCATCAGCGTCCTCAGCTGTAGCCGCCATTGGTACGCCGGGAGCAGTTGCATCTTCACCCTCATCATCGCTGTCCTCATCGCTGGCAAATGCCAATAATGGAGGTAATTATTTTCAACTTTTAATTATTTTTAAATGAGTTTCACTTGAGCGCTAAGGACCAACGCTGATGATAGCGTCGAATGAAGCGCCGCACATTACTGTCGACAACGAATCAACGAAGAAGCGTAAGATGATAAAATCGCGAAAAATAATTGTGAAATGATAAAATTAAATAGAGGCAGGTTAAATAAAAGCGCCCTGAGAAGTGCGTTAGAAAAAAAAAATTGGCATAGAGAGGCTAAAGTTTAAACGAAATCAAATGAATAAAATTGTCACTTGAACCGCGTGTCTAGCGCGGGAAGGGGCTATACGCAGTGGCTGCTTGGCTAGCTGCCGGCTACCGTTGTCTGCTGTATTTTTTTTAAGTGCAAGCGCATTATGGCTCAGTTATGCATACTTGGCATTGCATGAGAGTTGCCACATAAGGAATCTGTTAAAAGAGCTTCGCGTGTAAGCTGTTACCCAACGCACAGCATTACATACGTAGAAGTCTGTTGGTTTTTGATTTCCACGTAAAAATGGTATAGCAGTGCATGCACTGCCAAGTATGCATAACAGAGCCTTTAGACTGCTTGGTTTGACTGTTTTATGTTTTTTGTTGTGGTTTTTCTTGCTGTTATTGCTTTTGGCACAAGTATATGTTTGTTTAGCCAAAAATGTTTACCTTGCATTCTTCTTTTTTTCCACTTCAATTCATTTGTTTTGGACTGTCGTTTTATTTATTTATTTACCGCCGTCTGCTGTTGACAGCTTCGACAAAGTTCTTTAACTATAAATAGACCACGACAATGGCGACGACAAAGGCGAGAGAAAAATTGCTTACTTTTCTTGTTGTTGTGAAATAAAACACTCGGAAAATCAGTATTAAGTGGGGCAAGATGTAGGTGAAACTGAATGCAGACACCTTGCACACCGGAAATTGATGGCGAGAAGTTAAGACGGCAAAACTAAAAGCAAAAGTGAAATTCGAATTTATTTACATAGTTTTTGTTTTTGCTTTCGTTTTACAATTGATATTCTTGCTCAGGAGAAATAAATTAGTTTTCTGAATGAGCGCTGAATTTTCGTAATTTAATGCTAATTGAAGTTTTCGCAAATCGCCGTCGATGTAATGGGAACGTAGCTTTTATATGTTTTTATATACAGAGGTGGAAAAATAAATAGGGACACGGCATTTTAACAAATTTTGCCTGTTTTGCTTTGGTTTATTTAATATTTATTATTTTTTTTTAATGTCTAGCAAACCCCATATAAATTCATATTTCATATATATGCAAAAATTATAAAAATTTAGCAAAATTGCATCTAAATTTTCAATTTTTTAATCCAATATTGCTTTATTCACTTTTATAGCCCATTAACTTTTAGTAGAATAAAGTGTAAGTTTAAAGTAAAAGGTTTTTGGCAATTTTTTATGGAAAAAAGTGCATAATACATTCAGAAAAAAAAAAATTAAAAAACAACGCAATTTTATAGGATTTCAAACTTGCACTTGCACTAAATTTAATGAGCTATAAAACTGCATACTCAAAAACAAGTAAAAAATCGAATTAAAAAGTCGAAAATTTAGATGCAACTTTGCAGAATTTTTATAATTTTTGCATAAAGTTTTATATATGAACTTCTTAGATAATGAGCTATACTTTTACATCAAGATAATAAATATTAAATAAACAAAAGAACCAGTAATTTTTAAGCAAATAATAAAACCGACTTTAATTCTCTTATAAAAGTTTAAGACTGTCTTTAATTTCTTCATGATCTTATGATCGGATTTAAATCAAATTAGTATGGAACCACCTGTGAGGTAAGACCGTTCCTTAAAAAAAAAAATCGGTTAACTTGGTCCAAAGTTATGCGGTAAATACTTAACAAAAAAAAAATGTTCCGATGAACTAATAACTTTTATAACTTTTTGTGAAGTTGGTAAAAAATAGGAAAAATTTGTTAAAATGTCGTGTCTCTATTTATTTTCCATCTCTGTATTAGGAACTGAAAGTGGGTTAAGATTATTCCACTTTGTACATACATGTGTATATAAGTTTAAGTATCTGCTGCAGTCATCTAATTTCGAATATTATCAACTAAAAAGATCAAAAAAATTGGAACTGGCCTTCGATTCATCTCAGTGTAATTGCAAGTGTGAAAGGAAAGTTTTTCACATTTGGTCAGTTTGATAAAAAAAAAAAACACCCCCAGATTTACTCGAACACCAAGTTCACTGCGACAAAAATTCCAAAGACACGACTGCTGAAGACTACGCCATTTTTAACGCATTTCAAGAGGCCTAAGTGCGGTACTACAGTTGAGGTCCACCCCCCTCGTGAGATAGCCACTGCGCCCTACGGTAGATCAGCGGGATCCAAACGATAAGCACTGCCATTTATTGATTTTTAATAGGCAAAAACAATACGTATCGTTGAAAAGGGATTTGGTTTTCCAGGCTCGTCCTACTTCCCGAGACGCTTAACAGCTCCCCCGCTATATATTTCGGCCTTTCTTCCCTTCTGCTGTCCATAAAGATCCTGTGGTAGAGGCTCAACTTCATTTGGGTCCACTGGTTTCTCTTTCAGTACGCCACACCTAAGCTAAACAGCCTCTAGCTCTTTCGCCGTCCATTTTCTGGTCTTACACCGTCTATTGATAGTTGTCTTTAAGACATACCTTTTGCCTGCTTCTTCTTAAAGGTATTAACGTATTTTGGGTTTTGAATCTGATTTGGCAGTCTCTCTCGTGCTAAGTTTTCCCTCTGCAGACATGTAAGATCAACTAAGACTTCCAAATGCGGAATGATAGCTAGCGTTGCCCTCTCTGGTTTGCACTCTGCTTGGTGGCAGCTTCCCTGGTTATCGAGGCCTGAGTTGTCGCTGAACCGCTTTTGCTTAGGGAGCTCTAGACAGACTTCCTTTCCTTCTTGTTTTTGTTTTTTGATGTTCGGGTTATTAAACATTTTATTCTATGACCAACTGCCCAACAAAGTGAACTGAGTGTCCTAAAATCTGCTCCTAGGCCGTTAGTATGCCGATCCCCGCTGTCGACCATCTGGCTAAAAATTTTACTGCTCTCCGGATTAGAGGATTGTCACGTCTGGTCACCTGCAGCCCCAAGCTGTATGAAGGCAGCGTCCTACTTTTGAGGGATGTGTCAACCCAAACCAAAAATTACTGAGTGATAATTTAACTAAGCCCCGTCGGTTCTAGCGAAGTACACTCGGGATTTTCACAAAATTTTTTCATGCTTATTGCAGCCAACATACACGCATCGGGTCGGCATTGGAAAAAGGGTTTCAATAAAATATATCTGCTCTTTGAAGGCGACATGAAGCTAAAGTATTGCAGGAGTCTGAACCGCAACACAAGTCACGAATTTGAGAAGTGAAGTATTGGCATTTCATTGGCAAAGTAATGAAATTATATTCGTGCGCACAAGTAAATGTTCAAAAAATAATTCGCAAAAAATCCTGCGAATTAAAATCAAGTTAAATTGTATCACATCTTTGTTGAAATTAGAGACATTAGAAACAAGTACACCACAGCCACTCATAAATACTTGTGTCTCTAGTGATACAACAAACGATTACCACAATTTACCATTGAATTTTGCGCACGAAGGAGCGCACATGGTCCCCACAAGACTTGCTTGATTCCTTTCACCTTACATGCCTTCATCCGCCATTGAGCTCGTGGACGGAGCTGCACTCATTGGTACAATCGTATAATAAACACATTTTACACATAATTTCTGCGACAAGTCTACGAAAGCCTTTGTCGCCTTTTTGTCTAAAATCCATTTAGATAATTTGCGTAATTTATAGAGAACGCAAGAGCCCCTTCCCCCCTTAGCACGCACAAGTGGTATGTATTCATTAGAGTTTAATGAGGAAGAAATATAGGTAGACAGCAGCAATGTGTTTTATCCAAAAATATTCCGAAAATTCACGAAACAATTTTAATACTAAAAAAAATTTAAAACTAAGAATCAAATTAAATTCTGAAAAAATACGCGCTGTGCATCTCTAGGCATCAGATATGAAGTGCTGCCAGCAGCAGATATGCGCGCCACATGGTCGCACTGGAAGCGCGTGGACGCGCACAAAACAACCCAACAAAAGTGGAAGCACTTAACAAAGGATAACGCAGCACCAGCAACAGCGGCAGTGACACACCTGTCAACTGTCGCACAACGCAAAGGGCTTCAACAACAAAAATACGCAAGCAGTGATGACTGGGCAGCGGTAGTGGCAACTAGCGGTGGTAACAAGTGGCAAAAACACAAGCAGCACATCAAACGCCAGCAGCAGCAAAATCGTAAACTCCAAACGCCATTGCTGTCGCGGCAACAACAACATGGCGTGCGCAAGAAACGTTATCGACGGAGTTTAATGACAGACCAAAGTTTCGCAAGCATCGACTTAATTACAAAAACTCTCGAAGAGTATGATGATATGAATTGGCGCGACGAAGGCAATAACGGCAAAAAGAACAAAGTCACTGAACGCAACTGGGAAAATGGTGGTGGCTTAAATGATGAAAATGCAAAGCACAGCGGCAGTAATACGCGCACTGACGACAATAGTGAGAAGGTCGCTGACAGCTTTGAAGTTGTTGAAAACGCAAAGCTCATAACGCCGGAGTTGGAGTTGGACGCAAAGATGATTGAATTGGCCGCGCTACCAGTAGAGGAAGAAATGCTTGCAAATATGAGCGCGCGGCTCTCGGAAGTGCGGAAAATGGAAGATCTTGACATTCCTGCACACGCACAAAGGCAAGTAAGTGATACAGCGGCTGACGCTGAGGGCGGAAACTTAAGCAAAATACCTTCGACGGACGCTGAGGTGGGTACGTCTAGTGACAGCGCAACATTGACGCATTCAATCCAAGCGACTATCAATGCAACGCAGACTACAGCAAGTGATGAAGGTAATGCGCTGCCAACAAATCTATTAACAGCCACAAATATGCGTTGTCAAACACCAGAAAAAGGAGGCGCGCAACATAAATGTCAAATGAACGCGCTACCTGACATCAAAGGTGAAAGTAATTTTGTGGCGACGGCGGAAAAGCGCGAAAATGAAGTTAAAGACGAAAGTAAGCATGTCCTAGATATGAGCGCTTACAGCGCGCAAAGTGATTATGATAACAACAATAACAAGAATGCACCCAACAGTAATCAAACGCCAGTAAAACCTGGCGGCGTTGCCACAGCACAAACTTTGCAAATCAATAACGTATTAGGTCTCAATCAAAGCACTAATAATGACAAAAAAATTGCTGTCTCCATTGAAGTTGAAGCTGAGGAAGAAGCATCTTCTAGCGCTTTCGAATATGATGACGACGCGTCTGATGAACAGCATATCGGTGATACATTGACGACCATTGCCAAAGTTTTATCAAAGGCTTTTGAGGATAAAAATAATGAAGTGGCAATGTTGATAGAAAAGAAGACGGACGCGACGCACGAAAATGACGCGAAAATATACGAGGCGGCAGGGAGAATGCCATCAAAGACAGTTCAAAGAGAACTAAACGTAGACGCTGGGCGTGCGTCTGACGTAATCGCTACCTTGGCAACACCGCCCGCGTCTACATTGGTCCCCAGTGACATTTATAATGTGGCTTATAGTGATATTGATTACGTTGAAGGTAACACGCAGCGACAAGGAAAAGACTTTAGCGCGGCGCTTGTTAACAAAGTAAACAGAAGAAAACTAAGTCCATTTAAAGCGACGACTGAAATTAATGAGATATCGATGACAACAGACGCGCCATTTAGCAAACATGAAGCAAAAATGCGTGGCGCGGCAGTTGAAAAGTGGAAAAAAGCCTACAAGGCAGGCAGGAGCAATTTGCATGGCCACAAGGTGTACGCGCCAGCACATAGTAAGAAACTTAAAAAGCAAATGGGGCGCGCGCTACACGCACCTGACCACGTTTTGACGACAGCATCGAGGATAGCGCAATTGGTTGATGCGATTATTAATGATGATAATCAAATTGACAGGCCACCAGCAATGGCCGCGCAAAAGGATGAGGAGGCCAAAGAAGGCGCAGAACAAGTGTCAGTCAATAACGAATGCGGCGATGCTGCGGAAATTGACAAAAACGTCGCAGCAAATGATGATAATAAAATAGGCGGCGGCACGACAAAAAAGTCGCACAACGAAATGAAAGAAAGAACAAGCGCACCAGAAACTACCACGTGCAGCAGCCACTCGCATGATTTTGATGATGCAAATGATTTTCAAATCAATCGCCATAATAGAGCGGCAAATGACGCGTTGAGTGATAGTGAAAGCGATATGCTCATAGCTGCAACTGATGATAACAATAATGAGCGCGATTTAGTTGACAGCTATGATGATGGCGACTATGACGCGCACACGCCACAGCCACCATCGCCGGCACTGGAGTTGTCCGCAGGCACGTCAAATGTCATAAAAATTGATAAATCCGAAAGGAATGAGCAAAAACAGCAGCAGCAGCAGCAGCCGCCGAGTGGAGAATATGTTGAAAAGCAGGATGCAAGGAGCACGCGCGCGGAATGGCAAGAAAATCAAGCGCCTGGACGAGAACTGGAAATTAAACTAAACGGAAGTCAAACACAAAATGGACGCGCTACAACGATTGAGCAAAATACAGCAATTGCTGGTGTGCATGTCGACGCTGATGGCGTTGATGACGTTGAGACAACCACCACAACCACAACCAAACAAACAATAATGGTAACAGCTGATGAACGACAAACGATGGAGATAAATGAGCTCACGTCAGTGGCAAGAAAATCAGCTGCCGAAAGAGGCGACCGACGAAAAAGTGATTTAGAGGTTTTTGGTGGAGATGGAAATGAAAATGGAGCGGAAGTAGAAGAAGATGTCGCGGCAGCTAAAGACCAAGCAAATGTTAAAGCGCCAGTGGCAGCGACAGAATCAGAAACGGAAACCGTAGCAGAAAGAGGCTACTCGCAAATGACCGACATAGAAGTAGTAGATGGAGCAGCCCCC